TCAGTTGTTCACTAAACAGTATTCTGTTGTATGAATATACTACACTATTTATTTACCAGTTGATGGATATTTAGATTGTTTCTAGTTTTTGGCTATTATGAATAGTGCTGCTATAAATGCTTGCAGGCAGATCTTTGCATGGGCATATGCTTTCATTTTTCTTGGGTAGATATCTAGGAATGGAATTGCTAGGTTGTATGGTAATTATTAATATGTTTATATTTTTTAGAAACTGCCAAACGTTTTTCCAAAGTGATTTCTGTATCTCATTTTAGCACTTTATTGACTGAGGAAGAAGACCATGTTTCTGTCCTTCCTTCATTCATAAAGCTCATTTCTTTATTTCACTTGTATTGAACACCTTAGCTTATCTCAATAATTGATATCTGTAAACAACAAAATTATTTCCCTCGAGGTGCTCAGTCTGTTGGAGAAACAGGAATACCTTGGTAACTAAATGCAGAAAGAGAAGTATGGTAAGCAAAGCCCACTGTGGGGGTTGGTACACAAAGCGGAGAGCACCAATTCTAGGCTTGGAGGAGCAGAGGAAAGTTTTGGTGAAGTTCACACCTAAGATGATTCGTGGAGACATATCTAGTGCAGTGGGAGAAGAAGGGCTTTTTAAGCCTAGGAACAGAAGGCCTGCTGCCTGCTTGCAGTCAGAACCCCTTTACCCAGATCAGTTTTACTTTTCTCCATAGTAATTATTGCTTAGAGTGTGCTATGTAATTTATGTGCTCATATGTTGAGCTATTTTCTCTTTTCTCCTTTAAAGTAGATATCTCTGTCTGTTTTGTTCACTGATAAAGCCCAAATATCTGACACAGTGCCTGACACAAGAAAATGTACTCCGTGACTATTCATTGAATAAATGAATGCATAACATGAACAGTTTTGATAAACATGTGTGTTTCATGCTGCTCAAACACCAACTGCAGACGAAACTTCACTAAGTTGAACAACATCAGAGTTGCTAGAAAAAGTAGAAGGGTGAATACGTGAGATTTAAGATGGTAGAGCATCATATCACAAAGTGAAAAGCAGTGTCTTGTTTCAGAATGTTAAGTCGAGATCTGGCAAGACGAGTTTGCACAGTGACCAAAGGATGGCGTGATACTTCTGGTAAGAGAACAAGATTTTATTACATTAGAATCCAGGGAGAAAAATGCAGGTACCAATGAAGAACTTTCAAGTAACTTTTCAGAAAGTTAGAAATGATTGAAGAGAAAGGATGCTCTTCGAGAAAGTCATTTCAGTTAATGCAATAAGGAACAAGGGGTCTGAGGGGGTGGAAGGAGGGAAAGGAGGAGAAAACTGTCATTTCCTTAGGATTTTCCCACTGTGATTGTCATTTTTGAGGCATTTTTTGCAAGTCAAATAAGCAAAGACAATTTTTGACACAGTTATCTGTGGTTTTGAATACAGTTTGAACATGAAGTGAGAAATGCCTTTGCTCACAGAAGAGAAATTTACTGGGGAAATATTAAGGTATCTTTTATTCATTTTCATTTAGGCTCTTATTTGAAGGAATCTCAGCCATTTCAGTTTTGCCAGAAAGAAATCCACCATAATGAAGATTTACAGTTTTTCTCTTACATGTATCTGTATTTAGTTTTTTGTTGATTGATTTTTGTATTGTTGTCATTTAAGATGGCGTTCTTGTACTGATAGCAGGTTATCTAGAGAGTAATAATGCTATAAATTTGGTATCAATTCTAATTCAGCTCAAGAAAAGTGTTTTTTCTGTGTTTTAATTTTTTCATTTACTTTTGGTTGAGTAAGGGATAGGGACACTAGAAAAGATGAAACTATATAATTGTGAAAGTGAAAAAGTGAAAATGTTAGTTGCTTAGTCAAGTCTGACTCTGTGATACCGTGGACCGTAGCTCTCCAGGCTCCTCTGTCCATGGGATTCTCCAGGCAAGAATACTGAAGTGGGTAGCCATGCCCTTCTCCAGAGAAGATGAAACTGTACAATTAATCATGGCGTAATTGTGAAAGGCCTTTTATACTCTGCTTAAATACTTAAGGAAATGGCAACCCACTCCAGTAATCCTGCCCGGAAAATCCCATGGACAGAGGAGCCTGGTAGGTTACAGTCCATGGGGTTCAAAGAGCCAGACATGACTGAGCGACTTCACTTTAAACACTTAGACATTCTCCAGGAGCAATTGGGAACCATGCAGGATTTTAATGAAAGAAGAGGTTTGTGGAGTGAAGATTTGCTGTGATTGTGATTTGGACACTAAATCAGAGGGAAAAACAGAGCTATGGAGAGGGATAATGGTTAACGGTTTAGAGGACTTCTGCAGTAACTCAGGTGAACGTTCATGGTGGTCTGAAGGCGGTGTGGGTAACAGAAGCTTTGAAGAGCTGTGGCAGATACAGCAATGTTACAACTTAATGGTTACTTGCACAGATGCTGAGAAGGAGATTGAAGTGTCAAAGATGTCACCCATATTTCCTGTTTTTGGACAACTGGATAGAAGGTGACATCATTCACTTCAGAGGAGAACACAGGAGAAAGAGAAGCAGGCATTTCATGGAGTGAGATGATGAGTTTGGTCTTGGATTTGTCTCTCTTGGGGAGAATCTTAGTCAGTTTGTGATGCCACATAGCAAAATACCATAGTTTGCATGGCTTACACAGCAAACATTTGTTCATCAGAGTTCTGGAGCCTGGGAAGTCCAAGATCAAGTTCTGGTGGATTCCACACCTGATGAGAGGTTTCTTTCTGGTTGGAAGACAGCTGCTTTCTTGCCATATGTTTAGATGGAGGAGGCATGGGGAGGAGCGGGAAAGCACTGGTGTCTTCATCTTTTTATGAGGACACTAATTCCATCATAGGAGTTTCACCCTTAGTACTTCATCTAAACCAAACTACTTCCCTAAGACACCATTTCAAATACCATCATGTTAGGGTTTAGGGCTTCAAAATATGAATTTGGGATGTGGGGGAACACCAATATCGGGTCCATAACAGGGAGCCTGTGGAATACTCATTGAATAGGTACATTGGGCAGTTGAATCTTGGGATGAGTGTACTAGGATTGAAAGGAGTTTGTGGGTATAGGTTTTAGATACATGTGTACAAATGTGGTTATACATGCTGCCGTGGAAGTGTGTATGATCCCCTGTGGAAGGTATTGGAATGAGAAGAGAGTGAATTTGTACTTAGAAATCTGGGGCATAAGAAACAGAGGGGGAAAGAAGACCCTATGAAAGAAAGCAAGGAGCAGTTAAATGGGGAAGAGGGGGAGGCTGCAGAAATGCATTGTCAGGAAAGAGACATTTCAAGAGGGAAGGAGTGGGCTGTAGTGTCAGTTTCCAGAGTTCAATTAAGTGAGGGCTAGAAAGGGTGCACGGAATTCAGCAACATGAAAATCATTGCGCTCTTGGTAACAACCCTTTCTGTGGACTAGTGGGTGTAGAAATCAGTGAAGGCAGGAAATAGAAACAAATGGTGAATATAAATTGTTTTATTCTTTCTAAAGTAATTGTGGGAATTTACATCAAAATACCCTAGCCCAAGATAGCATTTTTTTAATTGAGATAAAATTTACATGAGACTGTTGTTTAGTTGCTAAGTCAGGTCCCACTCTTTGTGACCCCATGGACTGGTGCCCACCAGGCTCCTCTGTCTGTGGGTTTTTTCAGGCAAGAATACTGGAGTGGGTTGCCATTTCCTTCTCCAGAGGAGCTTCCCAACCCAGGAACTGAACCCACATCTCCTGGACTTAACTGGACTGCCAGGGAAGTCCCAGGTTCATTTATGTTTAATGTTGTGGGCTGTATTTCTCCGTTCAGAGACACTAGTGTAGATGGAAGATTTGAGTTCTATCTGTCACAAGCAATCTAGCCTCCTGTGGTTCAGTTAAACTTTATTCATAAAGACTAAGAAATGTTTTAGAGGCAGAGCAATGATTACATTCCCTGTAAAATTCTTGGTATTTTTTAATCTTTTATATTGAAGTCTCATAGTTTTTATATAAAATTTTCATAATGAATCAGGTACAGTACAAAACTCATTAGATTTTACATAATGGTTGGAATAAGTTAGGTTAAGTTGCTGAGCTGCCCAACATCTTTTATTATTTGTTGAGAAGATTTTTAATATTTATATTTGAAACCCTGACATGAACTTTTTTTAAAAAAAAAACACATTTTATTTTGTATTGGGTATAACTGATTAACAATGTTGTGATGGTTTCAGGTGCACACCAGAGAAACTCAGCCATCCATATACATGTATCCATTCTCCCCTAAGTGGTGTTTTAAAGTGGCATTCACTTTATGTCCTTAAAAGTGTCATTTTCCTGTGCAGTCTTTCCTTTATAGAAATAATTGATTATGGAACTGAGGTTTTCCAAGACATGGCTCTGTGATTTAACCCTCTGGGAACTTACTAAACTTGAGAGAAAAACAATGTTTGTTGAGGATCTGTTAAGTGTTTTATTTTTCCGAGCTTATTTAAATCCTATAACAACCAGTAAGTGGTGGATCCATGATATGAACCTCAATTTTAATGAACTCCAAAGTCAGGCCTCTATTCCTCATGTAATAGGGCATGCTGTTAATGACCGTGTCTGTGATGCTAATTAGGTTCCATCTTAGATACTTGGGGCCCACCAGAGAAGTAGGATGAGAAAGATGCTGAAGATGGCCATGGGCTCAAGAGGAAGTGGAGCTCTGATCAGTTAGCTCTGATGTTTTCTAGGAAGATAGACAGGAAGGGGTTGGGTGGGTCCTACTTGTACCACATGTTGGCTGCCCTAAACTGTGTCCTGTTACTTCTCAGAGAAGATTCTGGATGCTTTGTCAGAAGAATATTAATTTCTCTTATAAAATGTATGTCTGGGAGAAGTCCAATGCTGATTCAGAGAAGTATCTTTTGATCCTCCTCCATTTCACTTATTCTCTCTGTTCAACATATGATCTCAATAAACAAACTGCTCGGATTGATGCATTTATTCCTATTTGTGGTGTGTGTTTATTTCAGGCAGAAAAAGCCGACGGATTTGTTAACCTGCCTGATTTCACTGTAGAGAAAGCGTCTGAATGCAAGAAAAAGCAGTAAGTTGTCTATCATTTTCCACAAAATAATGGGGCCAGGATAATAGCCTTTTTTAAGTTCCTCAGGTGATACGGTGGTTTGGAAGTTCATGATGGTGATATTCAAATGGATAAAAATTTTGACTTTATGGTTTGGCACACCAAACAGTAATAGAAGCTTTTAACCTCTTGTTTTCTGGAATTTCACTTTGTGGAGCAGATGGATCTTAAAACCCCACAGAGCTCTGGCAGGCCATGCTGCTAATGACCATGTCCATGATCCAATGAGAAACAAGCCGCCATCCAGGCCTGGCAGGGTGATCAGATGTCAAGGATGTGTCCTTGTAAAGAGAATGGCTAGTTAAATAGGACTCACAAGAGCAGCAGATATGCTATGAGACCAGTTTCTTTTTCTTAGTTCATGAAATTGTCAGTAGCATTCTGAAATTGAATTCTCTGATCTGTCTTAGACTTGGGGATTGCACCCTGATATACTTAAAGTCTAAGAGATTTGACAACCAACAGGAGCCAGAGTTCCCAGCCTAGACCAATTCTCCAGACTCCCAGTCAAGTGCTCTTCCCATAACAGGATCCATCTTCATTTAGCATATGTGTCTTTTTCATCTTTTACTTATTCTTTTGTTCTGCTTTTGACATCATTTCCTGTTTTGTTAGAAAAGGGCAGTTCCCTATTGACCTGTGTTTCTAGTAGCAGCAACTGATGATTAAAAAAAAAAAATTAACCTGTTGTGAGCTTTAAGTCTGTGCCATTGTGATATAGCTGCATCAGAAAGTACCTAGTGATACACGAGGTTGCATCGATTCTTGTGGTTCTGACCAAACTGGTCATGTGCAAAAACTCTGGTCCACACTGCAGGACTTCCTGTCTAAATGGTAAAGAGGAAACACTTTGTTATCTTCAGTGTTTTATACTTTTCTTTTAAACTCAAAAATCTGCCTTGTATTTTTTCTTTACTAATAGAGGATAGCTTGCTTAATGTTTTTGATGTGCTGTCACAGTGTAGAAATTTTATACTTAATTGTTTTTCTATAAATGCAGTTATTGTATCTGAATTTAAATACTTTTCTTGATGGAGTTGATCTGGGTACTGTGAAGTTGCACATCTACCACTTTATATTTCAGTTTATTGTCTCTATAACAAACAGCAATTGAAAATAAAAGAATATGTCCATATGTTTTAAGTAGAGACTATTGATTAGTCAAGACTAAGTCCTGGTCTGAATGTCCTGACGTTATGAATTCACCCTCTGCTCCCTACATGTAATAGAGATTAGACAATAGACGTTTAATGTAATTAAAAATTCTGCTTTTGTAAATTAACAAAGAAAGGAGATGAGGTTACCATATGTATATTTGACTGTTATACTTTTGACTGCATTGTTGACTGCACTAGTTTCTAACTTCTCATGTGTCTGTACTTTTCCCTTCCAAGTGCTTTTAAGATCAGTCATCCACAGATCAAGACCTTTTATTTTGCTGCTGAGAATGTGCAGGAGATGAACCTGTAAGTAGAGAAAAATCACTCGATATAATCTTTATAGGATTCGATTATTTTGGTTAAGTGTCTGAATTCTAAGCTTATGTGCATGTCAGTTATTGTTTTATTTGTTTCTGCTGCTTTACGGCCTAATCTCCTTAGTGGTCATAAAGTCTTTCTGCTTTCTTTCCTAGTATTTGGAAGCATTTTGGAGCACTACACAGGTCAAAATGGCTGTTTTAGGAAGAAGTAATAAGGTTCTTCTAAGGGAAGCTCTCAGACACTAAACTGAGAAAGGAATAGACAGAAGACATTGTAAGAAAATGTGAAAATGAGAATTAGCATCACAGGGAGAAAAGCCTGAAAGAATCGTGTTACAGGTCCCACAGCTTTAAGAATTCTACATGGGGTCTATCTCTGCAGGACTTCGTATGCGCTGTGTGATTGTCATGGTGACTCATGTTTATCATCTCTCCATGTTCTATCCTGAACATTTTGCAGCACGTCTTTGTTCAGAGTGCCTCTAATATAAAAATGTCTATCACTAACTCCATTTCCTGTTTGCTCGGGTTAAGTAAGTGGAATATCCTGGTAGAGCATTGCCTGCCTTGCAACATCCCCTGCTGGTTTAGATTACTGTGTGATCCCAATGGGTCTTATTTGAATGAAACTATATATATTTGAGGTGCTTGTGGCATTGGAGGGCATTTTGTTTAATTAATTAGTCCTAGTCTCAGAATTGTCAATATTTCATTGCTTTCAGTTAATTAATTAACAATATATCTATGGATTATCTATGATATCCTCCCTTGTAATAGATCCTGGGCATTAAAAATGAAGAATACTGATTTAATATCTCCATTCATAGAGCTTATGGTTTAATCTATTTTTTAATGGATTTATATTTTTGTATCTAATTATATCTATTAATTTATTTAGACATAATGACTTTATCCATTTGCTCTCTGTAATTTCTCTTTTGCCCGTTGCTCTAGAAGCTTAAAGAAAAAAAAAAAAACTACTTTTCACTAAGCATGCGTGAGCAAGAGCACACACACGCATGCACACACACACATACACACACACACAGCACCTTACTCTGTATCCCCACAGAAGCCCTTAGTCACTAGAATCATTCTCATCTGTTCCTTACATTTACCTTCCCATTACAAACCTTCAAATGAGGGCAGAATGGCTTTTTAGCACGAAGTTAGGAAACCCTGTGTTAGAAATAACAAAGCACAGTATTGACAATCGAGTCTTCCAAACAAGTCTTTTATTTACTTGGACAAAGGGAGAAATACCTTCTATCCTCTTTTGATTTTAGCTTTTCTCTCTGGCTTTCTCAAGCATCTGAAAGAAATAGGAGCAGATACACAAAAGGAGGATGAGATGGTTAGATAGCATCACTGACTCAATGGACATGAATTTGAACAAACTCCAAGAGATAGTGCAGAACAGGGAAGCCTGGCGTGCTGTAGCCCGGCGTCACGAAAAGTCAGATATGACTTAGCAGACTGAACAACAACATAAAAGGAGAAGATAGAAAATGTGACAGTCAAAGTTCTTTATTTCTCATTTTATTTACGTTGGTAACTCTAAATTCTGTTGATTAGCAAGGTCTCAGTTCAGTTCAGTCGCTCAGTCGTGTCCGACTCTTTGCAACCCCATGGACGGCAGCATGCCAGGCCTCCCTGTCCATCATCAACTCCCGGAGTCCACCCAAACCCATGTCCATTGAGTCAGTGATGCCATCCAACCATCTCATCCTCTGTTATCTCCTTCTCCTCCTGCCCTCAATCTTTCCCAGCATCAGGGTCGTTTCAAATGAGTCAGTTCTTTGCATCAGGTGGCAAAGTATTGGAGTTTCAACTTCAGCATCAGTCCTTCCAATGAACATTCAGGATTGATCTCCTTTAGGATGGACTGCATTCTTTCTGGAGTTATTTCTCCACTGATCTCCAGTAGCATATTGGGCATTTACCAACCTGGGGAGTTCCTCTTTCAGTGTCTTATATTTTTGCCTTTTCATGCTGTTCATAGGGTTCTCAAGGCAAGAATACTGAAGTGGTTTGCCATTCCCTTCTCCAGTGGACCATGTTTTGCCAGAACTCTCCACCATGACCCGTCCGTCTTGGGTGGCCCTATATGGCATGGCTCATAGTTTCATTGAGTTAGACAAGGCTGTGGTCTATGTGATCAGATTGGTTAGTTTTCTGTGATTATGGTTTTCAGTCTGTCTGCCCTCTGATGGTGAAGGATAAGAGGCTTATGGAAGCTTCCTGATGAGAGAGCAGCAAGGTCTAGATGTGTGGAAAACTTAATGTCTTGTCCCGAGAGTGTCAGTCTGGAGCCAAACCATACATCAGTCCCAAGTGGTCCTTTCTAAGCTGTGTGTGTGTTAGTTGCTCAGGGGTGTCTGATTCTTTGTGACCCCGTGGACCGTAACCCGCCAGGCTCCTCCGGCCATGGAATTCTCCAGGCAAGAATACTGAAGTGGGTAGCCATTCCCTTCTCCAGTGAGTCTTCCTGACTCAGGGATCAAACCCAGGTCTCTTGCATTGCAGTTGGACTCCTTGCCTTCGGAGCCACGAGGGAAGCCCTTTTTAAGCTTTGCTGGTGGTGAAATAGAGCTGCCCATCAGCCACCTCTCCCCACCCCCCTAGGTTCCTGCCAGTACCTAGCTTCTCCCATGAACTTCCTGTATCTCCAGCTTTCTTCTGGTCTGTATCCTTTCTGTTCATCCCAGGGCTGGTTCTTCAAAGTAGTTCTGTTCACTCCAACCAGGGGAGAGTAAGACTGACTACCAGGGAAACAATGACTGCAAAGTCTTTTGTCACCTAGAGAATTTCTCTACCTACATGGTGAAACCACATTTTAAACCAGTAACAGGGTGAGACCCTTACGAGATTATCTGAAACTCTTCTATTTCAGGCAAATTTGCTCTCTCAATCACACATCAGAGCTATTTAGCTCTTGCTCACCCACTACTCAAGTTTTGCTTACCTATCTGGACCATTCATCTTCACTTTCACATTCTCCCTTTGCAGTAAAACAGTTATATGAGCATTAGCTACACACTCTGCCTATTTGACTATTAAGTCTAAGCCTTTCACAGTTATCAAAGCCAGGGTCTTAGGGCCTTTCTATGTTGTGAAGATCTGTGTTTACTTGGGATTATTTTAGCATGTCTCTTTCCAGTTTGCAAATAAGATTATAAATTGAAATTTAAGTGTGAGGTGTCCTGGCTCCATATTTTTGAATCAGTGACCTTTATACACAAAAATTGTCTAGCTGTCCACTCGTAAGTAAATGGCCCATTTTGTCAATGCCCGAATGTACCATTATGTTTCATTTATAATATCATTATTAAGCTTTGTTATTCTGAAGATGATTTTTTTCTAGTAGCTAACAATGCAGAATCCCTTTGGGATTGCCAGTTGACCTCCTCCTTCTCCCACAAGCCTAAGCAGAGGATGTTTCAAGATTTGCTCTGCAGTAGCCACTGAAGAACTTCCTTTCTTACTGATGAGGCGTGTTGGAGCCAGGACATAATGCCTCTGGGTATTAGTGAGGTGAAGAGGTGCTGGGGAACAAGGGAGTGATATTTGGAGAGACGGGGCCTGTTTTAGAATCCCCTCTTTGAGAAGCTGCCTTTTTGGGTGGTGACGTTTCTCATGAAAGAAAAGGTAATTAAGTTTAAGAAACGCTGTGTGTTCTGCAGGGACCCTCAATTTACAAGTGCAGGGGTGAGTAATTAAGGGTAATGTAAAAGTTGGTTTCTAAACAAAGGCTGGTGGTAGCTGCCTTTCTCAGGCAGTGTTTGTGGGAAGAATGTTCTCATTTTGTACATCAATTTCTTAACACTTGTGCTTCTTCAACGCACACATTCACAGCAAGTTAACAGACAACAAACTCCCAGGAAACATCTGTCGTCTTCTTTTACATAAATATAAGTCTTTTTGCATCTATCTATTTAGCTACAAATAGAAAGTTTTCTACTGCCTAGATATTTAAGAAAAAAAGTTCTTAGCAAAGATGGTACTCTGAGCCTGTGGGGTCTAGAAAGAAAGCAAACAAGATTCTGAACAATCTTGAGTTTTGCCAGCAAGTAACTGATGGTGTCAATTAAAGGGAGAAGAATTTTGAGTGAGGGCTGAAAGGAATCTTTTCTTTACTGTCAGTATTCTTCTGTTCTGCACATTTCTGGAAAGGAACTTAGGAATATCTTTTCTTGATTCAGGCACTCTCAATTCATCAATTTTTTTTTTTTTTTTGGTATTGATATGTTAAAAAAATAATTTTGTCTATTTCACTTTGAGATGCTTTTTTGGCGGGGGAGAGTCAAATGCAATTACAAAATTATGATATCAGGAGTAAACTAGGAATTAGTTAGTCATTAAATTCATTGTGCTTTGCCTGATCAGTTTTTAAAAATGTATTTTTAAGCATTTTAGTTGAGTAATGTGTAAAATATATTCTTTAAAAAAATCTTGTAATACAGAAGTGTGTATAATGAAAAACCTCCCAAGCCACTTTTCACAATATGACTATATCCTCTCTGATGCTTTTCTTTGCAAATCAAGTCATGCACATAGTTTTAGAAAGCACATTGATGACAGGTATACACTACTATATATAAAGTAGGTAACTGTTGAGAGCCTACTGTATAGTACAGGGAACTCTATTCAGTGATCTCTGGTGGCCTAAATGGGAAGGAAATACACAAAAAAGAGGGGATATGTGTCTCTGTATAGCTGATTCACTTTGCTATACAGCAGAAACCAACACAACATTGTAAAGCAATTGCAATAAAAATTAATTTAAAAAGCACATTGAATCAGGATAAACACTTTGTTTTGTATTTGCTTTTTTTACTTAACAGTATGTTAGGATTTTTCCAGGTCATGACAAGGCTCCCTCACCCAACCTCTGTCTTTTTATTAGTTTCTTTATAACACGGTACTGATGGAATTTGTACCATACTTCATCCATTTTTCTGTTAATGGACAATTCTGTTGTATCAGTTGTTTTTTTTTGTCATTGCAAGCCTATCGAATTCATATTCTTCCACATTTCTTATATACTTGAAGATGTGTTTTGAAGGATAGATATTTAGAATTAGAATTATTTGGTGAAGGGGAATGAATATTTATATTTTGAATAGTATCATCAAATTAACTGCTTGATATTGACTATACCAGTTTTTCAGGGTCAACTCAACAAAGGATGAGACTGTTTCTCTTAAAATCTAGAAGTTAGCAAAATTTAAAAATTTTGCCAGTCTGATGGTGAACAATACTTGCTTGTGCTTGAATATGCAGTTTCTAAAATATTGAGGCTGAGAATTTTCCGCTATATTTATTAGCCATTTGTAGTTTTTTTGTCATTTTCCATTTCTTTGTTTTGTTTATTTTGCGATTGAGTCTTGATGAACGTTTTTCAGTTCCTCTGGCATGATCTGGGCTTGGGTGTTGGTCTAGTTTTAAGTGGCCACTAGAGACACGTGTTTATCATGATTCAAAAGGGGACTTCCTAAATGAGGCTGAAATTCATCTTCCTTCTTATAGAAAGTTCTATTTTATTTTTAAAATAAAATTTACTTTGTTTTTCCTATTAAAAAATTATCTAGACCATGGCAGGTTGAGGGCTGGGTAAAGATGCCTAATTTGTTGACAATTGCTGACTTGGGAATATGCAGTGTTTATGCTTTGGTGGGGGTGTAGCTGGGTAGTTTATGAGGCTTTATTGGACTAGCAAAAATAAAACATAAATGAGTCAATAAGTGCATAGCATTATTATTGTCATTTTGTTGATAGTTGACTTAGGCTACTTATGTTTCAAAGAAAGATGAATATGTATTATGGAATATTTTTTTAAAATAAGGAAAAGTGGAAAGAAATGGAAAATAGGTCATTTAGATTATCACTGTCCCAAAATAATATTTTTCCTTTAAATAGGTTATATAGCTAGGAACATATGAAATAGATACATTTTATGTCTTTTAAAAATTTGTGTATTAAAATAAATTTCTAACTGAACCCTTGGCCTGAAGTCATAAGCCACATTTGCATTCCTTCAGGTTTGTCTAGTTCTATTTTTGTTATGGATGTGTAGTTGAAATTCATTGCCAATAAAATGGTAAGTCAATGGAAGATGAGACAGTGTCAATTTTACCTTACATAAAATTTTTCAAGGAATTGAAAAGTTCCCTAGCTTAGGAATAACTGTGAAACTCTGGCCAGATCTTTTTCCTTATTGATATAAAGATCATGGTTTAAAAATAGATCATCATCACTTTTTGTGAAGTAAGCTTACATTTTAAGAATTAAAGAGATAGAACTTTAAAGGTCAAGTTATGAAACTCATTTTGATGGTTGTGAAAGAATTTCAAATATGCAATTATAAAGCATATATTTATTTGTATATTTAGAGTATCTAATGTAGTTACCCACTTTAACTAGCTGTATAATGGGCCACCTTATATCTTATCATATTACTTACGATATGGACTGTAGTGTGAAACCAGTGATCTTAGGTTTCCATAAACATATTTAGGCTATTTCTGAAAACATTTACACTGATATAGCATGATGACTTAATTTCATTATAAAGTCTGGTATAAGACCTTCCTCTAGTGTCTAGGGTAAGGGTGAATAGGTGAGGGACCAATCTCCCTGGTCAAACGTCTATTTTCTATTTGAATTTTAGGTGGTTAAACAAATTGGGATTAGCTGAAATCCATCCTGAATCTACTTCAAAGGATGAAGGTATGTTCTGTTTTCAATTTCTGAAAATTTAGCAGGGATCTTAGAATAGGGTGAAAATACAATGTCAAGTTCTATGTAGAGCCTTGTTCTAATGAAACATACTTTGTTATTTAAAATTATCTGAAAATATGTAGAGACAGACATAGTCACACTGGCTCACCAACATGGAATAGAGCCTCCCAGGCTGGCTAAGAATGCTTTTCACACTTCACCCACACATTAGCAGCTGTAGGCTTCATGGAGATCACAGTCAATTGCCAATGCAAATGTTTTATTGTCCCACTTACTGAATTCTTACTCATCGGTGTGATCTTGTCATGATCTAGACAGATAACTTTCAGCCCACTGTTTCCTCTCTGATATTTTAGTATTTTCACCAGGTGTGTGCCAAGATTAATTACCCTAAGTTTGCACCAGAAGCCTGAATGTCAGCCTGGGACAAAGGCCATCTTTTTAGTTCAGTCTATAGCTTTCAGTGTTCAAAAGCTCCAGGAGTCTAACTCTTCTTAATGATGCGATTGCTCCTTAATATTGAGAAGAAAGATGTCTTTATGTGTCTGGGTCACAGAGTTGACACTATTTCTGAAATTCTCAGACCACATAAAACTCAGGATTTAGAAGTAGGGAGCTATTTCTTTGGAGAACAAATCATAAAATCTTAAATTTAGAAATGGAAAAGTGGCAACTTGTTTTAGAATAAAGAAGTACAATATGATACTGTGAAATCAGCGTCCTAACCATATCCTTGGTCCTCTTTTTCATAAAATAAATTCTCATGGTATATTTGCAGTATTTTATAGATTGTGAGCACAAAAATAACCACACAAAACCCTCTTCCTCATCCTGTTATGTAAGGCCTTCTGTGATACGACATCAGGCCACCTCTCAGCTTTGTTTTCCACCCTCTCCCTCAGGGAACTTGGGATACTCGCCTGGAACTCGCATTATTCTGTGTGCATCATTGATGGTTTACTTATCCTGCCATTTTCAGCTCATTAAGATTTCTGTGCTCAAAGTTAATCACTGCTGATTTTATACTCCCTTAGTGTATGACTCACACCTCTTTTGAGGAATTAGTTTTATTTTCCCTGAGCTATGATTAGTCCTCTTTCTGCCTAGTGGACACTCTTTGAGGGCAGAAACCCTAACAGAGAGAAACTCTTATGTATCAGGTAGCCCACTAGATGAGTTCTTTCTGAATTGGATTGGAATTGCAGTAGCCAGATGGAGAAGAACCTCTGCTCATGCATTATGGAATGAGTGATGACGGCGTTGAAACATTCAGCATTTTCCTTTTTGTTCTAGAATGCTACAGTGAGAGTGAACAGGAAGATCCTGAAATAGCTGTCCAGACACCATCCCTTCATCACTCTGCGGAGAGTCTCTCTCCTTCGGTGGGTACCAAATTAGCCTGTTGCTCATCGATCAAACAACATCGTGTGGAAGTCTTTCCTTTCAACTGGGTAGAAACTACCTTGACTGGTACACTTTTAGAGCAGGCTAAATAAAAGTGTTGCCAAAGAGCAAGTGCAGTTCCCAGGGTGCCATAGCAACCCACTGGTATGACAAATTTGGTGCATTTGTTTGTGACCCACAGATGTGTTGTGCCCAGAGGATTCATGCTAACGCAGAGGGCTTCTAGGTAATAGGCTGATGCTTGCAAAGATTTATTTTATAACATTTATTTATACCCTACTTGTTCTCAGAAAGAATTGAAAATGCCTTTCCTAGGTGCAGGCCCTGTAGTGGTGTGAAATGAATGTAAAGGGGATTAAGGCAAGACCATGAAGAGAAATTTAGAATCAGAAAGAGAGCAGGAAGCCAGGAGTGGGGTTAGTGCATTCAATCTGCCTATAGAATGGTTCGGTATGTTCACTCGAGAGCAGTCCAAGTTTGATTTGAAGCTTTGGAAGCATCCAGTGTAAGTTCAGGTTATTGATGGACATTAAGACTATGAAAGTGAAAGTGTTAGTCACTCAGTTGTGTCTGACTCTGCGACCCCATGGACTGTAGCCCACCAGGCTCCTCTGTCCATAGAATTCTCTAGGTAAGAATACTGGAGTGGGTTGCCATTTCCTTCTCCAGGGGATCTTCCTACCCAGGGATGGAACCCACGTCTCTTACGTCTCCAGCATTGGCAGGGGGATTCTTTACCACTAGCGCCGCCTGGGAAGCCCACTGTAGCTTTATAGTATATGCCTTTTCCACTGTACCTTGACACTCGTTCATCTGCAGACCCCAGTAAGGATAAGTTCTCATAGGTTACAGCATCTCCTTTGCTGACCAGAACTCTTGTACCAGAATTTTCTGTTTTGTGTGATAAGGTTTTTAATCTTCATTTGCATTTTGCCAGTTCCTGGGATAAAGGTATTAATATCATTTAAATAATGAGCTCTACTGCTTTTATCGCTGTCAGTGGAGAATTACGGTCACATTTCTAATTTATTTGGCTATCAGTCAAGACCATTGGAGAAGGAAATGGCAACCCACTCCAGTGTTCTTGCCTGGAGACTCCCGGGGACAGGGGAGCCTGGTGGGCTGCCGCCTATGGGGTCACACAGAGTCGGACACGACTGAAGTGACTTCGCAGTAGCGGCAGCAGCATCAAGACCAGTAATAAATATTTGTTGAATGAATGTTTATTTAAAATTTCTATTAAATAGGATTAGCCAAGGTTAAGCAAGATATAAGTAAAATTAAATGTTGACTATGGTAAAATGTTGACCAGTTTTTGAACTAGACATATAATATAGCCTTTCTTAATATGTAAATAGCTTTCCCTTGATGTAGTCTGAATCCTCTTCTAAAGTCAGTTTTTGCATTTAGAAAAAATGAAATAGATGTGCCTTGTTGGCTTAATGGAGAAGCCTATATTTTTGTTTAGTTTCTTTCTCTTTGTCTCTTTCTCTCTGCGTCTCTCCTTCTCTATCTCATATGAACTATTTTAGTTTTAAAATATTGTAATTTTCAGTTTTATAAATGGCAAACTATATCACAGGTTCAGTTCAGTTCAGATGCTCAGTCATGTCCAACTCTTTGTGACCCCGTGGAATGCAGCACGCCAGCTTCCCTGTCCTTTACCATCTCCAAGAGTTTGCTCAAATTCATGTCCATTCAGTCGGGGATGCTATCTAACCATCTCATTCTCTGCTGCCCCCTTCTCCTTTGGCCCTCAATCTTTCCCAGCTCTTTCCAATGAGGTGGCTCTTCTCATCAGGTAGCCAAAGTATTGGAGCTTCACCTTCAGCATCAGTTCTTCCAATGAATATTCAGGGTTGATTTCCTTTAAGATTGACTGATTTGACCTCCTTGCTGTTCAAGTACTATTTAAGATAGTGGTTCTCAATAAATATTAAATGAATAAGCATATGCATGATAAAGTCGCTTCAGTCATGTCCGACTCTTTGCAACCCTATGGACTGTAGCCCACCAGGCTCCTCTGTCCTTGCTATTCTCCAGGCAAAAATACTGGAGTGGACTGCCACGCCCTCCTCCAGGGGATCTTCCCAACCCAGGAATCAAACTCTGGTCTCTGGCAACTCCTGCATTGGCAGGTGGGTTCTTTACCACTGAACCACCTGGGAAGCCCAAATAAGCACATAAGCAGGATCAAGTTATCAGACAACACTTTTAAAAAATTAAACTTAGAGGGAAGATATTTGTAACAAATTTTTAATGATCTTTGAGCTTTTAAATCACTTTGTATCATATAAAATTAATGAGTTTGAATTATAATGAGGTCAGTTCTGAAATCATGGGTGGTGATTTTCATAAAGGATCTTCCAAAGTGAAACCTACAGAGTCCCATCTATCTTAAGTCTGCCAAAAAGCTCTCCATTTTTAATTTCTCTGTAGATAAATGGATGTCCTTTCCATTATCCATCCTGTGGGGCTGTCTCAAGAAGCATAGACATGAACAGATAAATCTCTTATTTACTCAAAGGCCCTGTAATACTCCTTATGCTCTTTGTGAAATGTGGTTTCACCACTTAGAAGCATAAGTCCAAACTGGTCTGGTGCTGAAATCTTATTGTTTATAGAAATAAAAATGATTAGACATAGAATTAAAATTTTAATTCAAGATTTTTATTGTTTTTGAAATAATTTTCCAGAATAGTAATTATTTTATACTCATGAATTCATTATTCCAAAATGAAAGTTCATTACCCCAAAATTTGAAAAAAAAAAACAAGAACTTGGAAAAGATTTGGGTGTTTGCTTTTATTTTGTCTTGTTCTTTTGCCTAGGCTTATAAAGCTCAGTCATGGCCAGCCTATGCCAGAATCAGCCAAAACAATGTTTGCTCCTGCTCTGTACAAACGTTACCATAATTTTAAAAATTTCATCTGTTTAAATAAAAAGCTTAAGTGTTATTTTAACTAAGTGTCTAGCATGTCTGCTTTTTAGAAACAAGAGAAAACAAAAACAAAATCTGCCTGGGATATATGTGAGCAGCAGCAACACATTCTGTTTCTAAGGAACATAAAATCTAACTGTTCAACATTTATCTATTTCTAATACATTCCTTCAGAAACATAATGTTAGCCTTAGTGGTCTTCCAGACAATGCTTAACTTAGAACTTTAAGGAATAACATTTGATTGACATTTGGAATAACATTCTAAACCCTGCTCCCATTTCAGTGACCTAACTTAGTGGTCTCACGTCCATCCTTTCATCTATTTGTATTGAAACAAGCATTCTCTGGACTCCTACTGTAACATTTGGTAAGACTATCATATAAACTCAGCATTAAAAAAGCTAAGATCATGGCATCCCGTCCCATCACTTCGTGGCAGATAGGAGGGGAAAAAGTGGAAGGAGTAACAGAGTTTATTTTCTTGGGCTCCAAAACCACTGCAGACAGTGACTGTAGCCATGAAATTGAAAGGTGCTTGCTCCTTAGAAGGAAACCTGTGTCAAATCTCGACAGCACATTAAAAAGCACAGACATTGCTTTGCTGACCATTAAGGACTTTGATGTCTTGAGTTCCTCAGCCTTGGGAGTTTTGAGCAGAGGAGTGATGTGATCAGTGTCCCTTTTAAAGGGACCACTCAGGCTACCATGTGCGAGAGACTTGTGACATAGGGAGAAAGTCCAGAAGCAAAGAAATCCAAGGAAAAGTGTGCAGTCATCTAGTGTGAGAAGTGAGGCTTGGGGTCAGCGTGTAGTTGAGAGATGGAATGGTTGGATTTTGAACATGGTCCCAAGACCAATTGGTGGATCAGATATGAGAGAAACTGAGAAGATATTATCATCCCAGATTTATGCAGCTCATGGAAATTATTTTAACATCATAGTCCTTATATTTTAATACTTTCAAGAAGTACAGTTCCTTTATATCTAAAAGATGGGGAGGGGGAATCAACTAAAACAAATCAAAGAAGCAATAAGTAGAAACAAACTCTGCACATTGTGGCTCATTGGCCCATGGCAGCGGAAGAGGTCAGAGATTAAACACAAAAAAGGGTAAAAACAGTTCTGGAAATTAAAATTTAATCTTAGTAGGATAGTTCTTGCACAGTTGTTTACTAAAGGACACGATCTTTCATTGTGTGTGCTATATATAGTAATAGAAATGTTTGCAAGGGAGATAATGTGGATGAAAAATTGGATGAAAAAATTTTGGATGAAATTAAGTGGATTTAAAATTATTCATGCATTGCTTTTGTATTTTCATGTACTTTGAGTAATATTGCTTAAGACTTATATACTGACTCACTCCTTTCTAATTACAGGCTTTTGGTGGCCATTTAAAACTTTTTTCACCATGTCACGCTTGTGCTTTAGAAGCAATTCAAAGAAAAGAAATTTAGAGCTAATCAGCTTTTTAACTAAGCTTTTTCAATAATTAAAAATGTCTTATACAGAAAATGGGGGAAAACAATATCGATTATTTTATTTAATAAAGTACATAGTTTCCTCATGAAAACTAAGATTTTTAAAATGTCCTTTATTTTCTCATTAAAAAATAACATTTTAAAACCCAAATGTTTTCAAATAAATGAGATGGCATACAATAATTAAGGGAGTAAGTGAAGTCACTCAGTTGGGTCCGACTCTTTGTGACCCCGTGGACTGTAGCCTACCAGGCTCCTCCATCCATGGAACTTTCCAGGCAAGAGTACTGGAGTGGGTTGCCATTTCCTTCTCCAATACAATTGTTAACCAATAATAAATAAAATAATTTTGTTTGAGATTGTGAAGACATTTGTGGGAATATTTGCATTGCAACCCGTAATCCTGGATCTTGGGATTAGGATAAATCATCCATAACACTTTACAGAGAATTTCAGGGTGCTCCTGAGTAAGGGGTAAACTTCTCTGGGCAGTTTTTTTACACATAGCTGGCTGTCTAGACCAGTCTTTGTAGCATTGGTTTATTTATTGTTGTTTGGTCGCTAAGTCATGTCTGACTCTTTTGTGACTGCATGGATCACAGCCTGCCAGGCTCTTCTGTCCATGAGATTTCCCAGGGAGGAATGCTGGAGTGGTTGCCATTTCCTTCTCCAGGGGATCATCCCGACCCAGGGATCAAACCACATCTCTGAGTCTCTTGCATTGACAGGCAAATTTTTTACCGCTGAGCCAGCTGGGAAGCCCTTTTAGTTTATTACCAAGTACTAATTTATTAATGTCAGGCACAAATGCAAAAAAATGGAGATGCAAAAATGATTAAAAACAGCCTTCTCTCAAGTAACTCACCAAAAAAGAGGAACAAATTGATCAGCAATTACAGTAATAGTTGACAAATAAAATGATATTCCCCCTGATATGATACAAGTAAGCATGGGAGAACCAGGCAAAGACGCCTGCCTCTCCCTGAGGCAACCAAAGAAGGCTTCCTGGAGGAGCCAGCCCTTGGATGGACATTTGAATGGTTCATAGAATGCACTGAGCTAAAAGTTCTCTGTTTGACTTGTAGTTATGGGTAGCTAGAGAGTCATTGAAATAATGAACCGAGTTTAGCACCACAGGGTTTGCAAAGCTCATTCCTATATTGATTCTCTGTGGCAGTAGTCCAGGTAACTTTAGATTTGTGTCAATCTTTCTTTGAATGAAAATTCCCTCTGACCTGGTACATATCATCTTTTTCTCATTTGTTTGTCCTTCTTTCTAGTCCTTTTCTTAATCTCTTTTGCCCCCCACCCTTCTTTTCTCTGTTCAAAAATAAACTTTATAAATGTTGCATGGCACTGGAAAAAAATGGATTTGAGGAGTACCACGAGAGAGTACATTTCCTAGAAATTTCGGGTGCTCGTTGACTAGGTCCTTCTTCAGTCATTTAAGCAAAGTTTATGGGTTCAAAAAGGCTTATAGAAAGTGCTGCAGCAACAGCTTTTTGCACAAATAGCTCGTTTTGCTATAATCAAATTACAGTAGTATCAGCGGGAGCACCAGGAAAAGCTTGCGCTTGGTCTCTTTTCAGAAAAGGAAACTGATCACACTGAAGCCAAGTTTGACTAAAATAACTCACAATAGGGGACCATGTCAGCACTGGGCCTGAATGAGTATTTTTGATAATATTTATTCTTGTAGATCTTGTTAAAGAGTAAACGAGTCTTGGCATTTATTTGGACAGTTTGGTAGGGAGTGTATTAACTCCTTCAGATTGCTAGGGTTTTCTTGTTTTTTTTTTTTTTTTTTAGTGAATTGCAGATCTTGGATCTCCCAGTTAAGTGATCGAGGTGGTTGAAGGCAGCCAGTTTGAAAGCTCATTGACATTCCTGAAAGGAAAATTTTCATGTCATGCCAAATATTTTGTTACTAGGAAGACGTGTGTGATGAGTTAGTATCTTCAGGCAGCTTAGTTCAGTCGCTCAGTCTGACTCTTTGTGACCCCATGGACTGTAGCACACCAGGCTTCCCTGTCCATCACCACTCTAGCACTTGCTCAAACTCACATCCATTGAAGTGGTGATGCCATCCAACCATCTCATCCTCTCTCATCCCCTTCTCCTTCTGCCCTCAATCTTTCTCAGCATTAGGGTCTTTTCCAATGAGTCAGTTCTTCACATCAGGTGGCCAAAGTATTGAAGCTTCAGCTTCAGCATCAGTCCTTTCAATGAATAGTGAGGATTGATTTCCTTTATTTATTTTTTATTTTTTTTTATTTTTTTATTTTTTTATTTTTTTTTTTAATTTTTATTAGTTGGAGGCTAATTACTTTACATCATTAGCAAGTGTCTTTGTATTTCATGGCTGCAGTCACCATCTATAGTGATTTTGGAACCCAAGAAAATAAAGTCTGTCACTGTTTCCCCATCTATTTGCTATGAAATGATGGGACTGGATGCCATGATCTTAGTTTTTTGAATGTTGAGTTTTAAGCCAGTTTTTTCACTTAGTATCTTAACTAGATGCTCTAGTGCCATGGCTCAGTGGGTAAAGAATCTACCTGCAATGCAGGAGTCACAGGAGACACAGATTTTGTCCCTATGTCAGGATGATCCCCTGGAGGAGGAAATGGAAACCCATTCCATTATTCTTGCTTGGAAAATCCCATGGACAGAGGAGCCTGGCAGGCTATAGTACAAAGGGCTGCAACAAGTTGGACATGACTGAGTGACTAAGAATGCATGCTGCTAAAAAGTGGATTTATTGCTTATTTGACCATCCATGTCTAGCTTGCAGCTGGCTAGGCATTCATTGGATATTTACTGACATTTTCTATCAGAGCATAGAGCTTAGAACCTGCAAAATTCTTGGGAACATATTAATTTAGAACAAAGTCAATTATCCTGAATTAGTTGCAATCATTCTGAGTTTTTTGGGAGAGGATCCTACTTTGCTCTTTGGCTTCTTCACTCTAACAGTTCCTCCCTACCACTTCCTCCACTTTCTTGGAGTTCTGAATGCTTGAAATTGACAGGAGTATCTCATAGGATGACATAATGAAACAGAACCAGAATACAGACTTCTCTGTCTTATCTGCCACTGGAGATATAGGGTAACCCCAGAGCACTGGTGTTTAGACTTTTGGATTTTATTGACCAATAAAATTAAAAATGGAGGACCAGCATCTCGTTGCCAATTCTTTATTTTGCCATGCAAAACATTTAAAAAGCTCCAAAAAGACAAAAGGTAATAGCTACCATTACCATTTTCCAAAAGAAAGCATGTATTTTAACACCAACATATAATAAAAATAAAATGTCAGAATAAATGAAGTCTTTCCCAAGAGAGGACGCTGGTGATGTTGCATTAATAGACTGGTGAAAATTTTACCAAGGTTGTCATTCAACCTTGGATTGTATGTCAGTAACTGCTTTCAGAAGATACTACATCATCAACCCATTTTTCATAGTTCTTGGTTTCCTTTAATGAATTAGGACCCTGCATATGTATTCTTGTTTTTTTTGGAGAAAGTTTATTGACATTTTAAAATTATTAAAGAGTGGATGAGTTAACATCTGTTCACCTAATTATGTAGTAATGAGCTGATACTGGTCATGTGCCAAAGAATATCTGAAAAATATTTGAGGGTGTAAATATATGTGTTTTGTCTACATGACTGGTCTTCCAGTCAGTTCATATTATTATCCTTCCTGTTTGGCTCCAGCTTTTGCTTTCTTTTAATCACCTTTCTTAGGAGTTTTTGCCCAATCAGTGAAAATTCAGTGATAGATTATAATCTACCTTTTGCTCAAAGTGTCCTTCAGTGTTCCAAAGAATTCCCGAAAGGGTCTTTTAAGTACCTGGAGAGCATTGAAGGACAGAGTAAATCATGATACAGAGATTTTTTTCAGATCCTAGAGTCCTGAATTCAAAGTTATACAAATTGATTTGGGAAGATGGCATCATCATGCCTATCACACAGATATAAACACCATCTACTTTTCTTTCATCTCTTTTATTATTGGTGCCTTTTTGAAACACTGGCATTCCTTCATTGAAAATGAAAAGTAGAGAATGTCAACTTAATCATGATTTATTTCATGCTCTTTTGGCTTCTTTGTGAAAAACAGGCTGCACGTCAGGCCTCTTCGTCTTCAGCCAAATTGAGTGAAACATCACGTTCCTTCTCTTCCATGGAAAACATAAAAAAGACTCCCAGCAGTTTGTCTTCCTCCATATCGAGAGAAAGACAGTCCTGGATTGACATGGTTAGCAGCTCATCCGCCACTGAAGATACGGGACAGTCTGTGATGTGTGCTGTGCAGTTGCTCTCACCTGCCCCCCCAGAGGCGAACGGTCGCGGGGCCCTGGAAAACAACGCTGATGCATCAGAAAGTGGATTTTTGAACTCTCTATCGAGTGATGACACTTCTTCCTTGAGTAGCAACGTCGACCATCTTACCGTCCCAGACAAGCCTACTGGATCAAAGATGACGGACAGAGGTAAAAGCAAGAAATTACTATTTTTTTTTAGCATAATTTTATTTATTTATTTTATTTTTGGCTGTGCTGGGTCTTGGTTGATACGTGGGCTGCCTTCTCTAGTTGCAGCGAGCTGGGGCTGCTCTCCACTTGTGGTGTGCGGGCTTCTCCACATGGTGGCTTTTCTTGCAAAGCATGGGCTCTAGGCCATGTGGGTTCAGCAGCTGTGGCTCCCGGGCCCTAGAGCACAGACCCAGTAGCTGTGGCCCATGGGCTGAGTTGCTCCGTGGCACGTGGGATCCTTCTGGACCAAGGATCGAACCCGTGTCTCCTGCATTGGTGGGCAGATGCTTTGCCACTGAGCCACCAGGGAAGCCCTAAACATTTATTTACTCTTTTCAGAGAGTGAGTATTTGTATGTGGATGTAGAGCGCTGAGGTGGATTGCAGAAGGAATGTTGAAAGTCATGAATGATTTGATAATTAAACAGTCAAGTGAGGCTAAGTCCGGAGGTTACTTCTGAAGAGGGGGTTGCATGTGGAAAACTCTACCTTCAAGGCCGTTCATTGCCCACTAGCATTGCTTAGTCGCTCAGTGGTGTCTGATTCCTGCAACCCTGTAGACTGTATCCTGTCAGGCTCCTCTGTCCATGGGATTCTCCAGGCAAGAATACTGGAGTGGGTTGCCATTCCCTTCTCCAGCCCACTGTAAGTGTCACTAACCAAATGCTTGCAACTATGAGACACATGTTCACAAATTAATGATCCTTTTCACCAATCCGAGATAAAAGTTTGAGTTTTCTTTGTTATTTGTTTTAATTCATTCTTATTTTTTGAAGGATAATTGCTTTACAGATTTTTCTTGTTTTCTGTCAAACTTCATCATGAATCAGCCATAGGTTGTTTTTGTTTTGTTTGGTCAATGCTGTAACTATACCTTGAGTGACATGTATGTGCATGTAAATGCTCAGTTGCTCAGTTATGTCTGACTCTTTGCAACCCCGTAGACTGTATCCTGCCAGGCTCCTCTGTCCATGGGATTCTCCAGGCAAGAATACTGAAGTGGGTTGCCATTCCCTTCTCCAGCCCACTGTAAGTGTCACTAACCAAATGCTTGCAACTATGAGACACGTGTTCACAAAATAATGATCCTTTTCACCAATCCGAGATAAAAGTTTGAGTTTTCTTTGTTATTTGTTTTAATTCATTATTATTTTTTGAAGGATAATTGCTTTACAGATTTTTCTTGTTTTCTGTCAAACTTCATCATGAATCAGCCATAGGTTGTTTTTGTTTTGTTTGGTCCCATGTCCTCTGCTCTGGAGCTTGTGGTGACTAGCTCAGCGTTTTGTAGATGACATCACCTCCTTGGTTCGAAACATGCACAGAGCAACCACCTTCCCTGAGCTATCGCCACAGATGAGGGCTGGGTCCTAAGCGAGTCGGCTCCTGAGGTGCCTGCCCATGTGCTTAACAGAAAGAGACAATCTGAGTGTACTACGGAGGGCATCACTAGAACTTTAAAACCCAAGGAGAGCACAGCTTATGTGTTAAAAAAAGAAAAAAAAATCATTTTAAGTCTTAGCAAAAGAAGGAGTTACTGGAGTGTAGAAATGAAGAGTGTGGGCCTTCTTAATGTTGTTGTTAAGCCTCCAAGTCGCATCCGATTCTTTGCGACCCCTTGGACCACAGCACGCCAGGCTTCCCTGTCCTCCACTGTCTCCTGGAGTTTCCTCAAGTTCATGTCCATTGAGTTGGTGATGCTATCTAATACTTCTCAATACTCCATGGTGATTGGTCCTTATCTTTTATCCAGACTAACTTTAAAACAATGATTAGTTTTCAGTCATGATGGGTTGTTCCTGATGGTCTGTGCCTTGTTCATTCCACTGTCAAACATGCGGACCTGATAGAAGATACTTAAAAATGAGAGAATGATGAGTTGACTGGCTAAATTTCCAGGATCGCCAGCCACGGTGATCTGATGGTGTAAATGACTGCTTCGCCCCCTCCCCCAGCTTCATCAAGGACAGCTGTTTAAGTTCTCAAATTTTCATAGGTACCCTATTAATTTGATATTTGGTATCAGAGTAATTTTGGAGAAGGAAGAGGCACCCCACTCCAGTATTCTTCCCTGGAGAATTCCATGGACAGAGGAGACTGGTGGGCTACAGTCCATGGGGTGCAAAGAGTTGGACACAACTGAAGCTGCTTAACACAGCACAGCACATCAGAATAACTTAGGCCAAGGATTAGAACTCTATAGACCTTGGTGTGTGAGTGTGTGTGCGTGTGTGTGTGTGTGTGTGTGTGTGTGTGTGTGTAGCCTTTATTTGGATTCTCAGGCTGGGAACTCCTCCAAGTCACCACAGGTGTCATTACTCCCTATAGCCTTATCTGAAGATGCTTCACACAGTTGAATTACTTGCCAGGCCCCTGATGGCATTATATTTTCAGGAAAGCTTGAGAATAGGCTATTTTATTTTGTTAATTTGTTTAGTTTTCTGGCCATGGCCCTAAGGCATGTGGGATCTTATTTCCTTGACTTCCCTTGTGACTCAGATGTTAAGGAGTCCGCCTGCAATGCAGGAAACCATCATTTGATTCCTGAGTTGGGAGGATCCCCTGGAGAAGGGCATGGCAACCCACTCCAGTATTCCTGCCTGGAGAATCCCATGGACAGAGGAGCCTGGTGGGCTACAGTCCATGGGGTCGCAAAGAGTCAGACACGACTGAGCGACTAACACTTTCACTTTTAGGGATCGAACCCATACTCCCTGCATTGGAAGTCTGGAGTCTTAATCTCTGGGAAGTCCCCATCTGATGGCATTTTTGTTGGATACCTTTAATTAATGCTAATGATCTACTTTACATTAGTAAATAAAGTTATTGCCAAAATAACCTGCTCCTAGAGGTGAATGAGGTTGGGTAGGGGGGAGAATGGAAATAGCACCACTGATGAATAAGGGGTGATGGGTTAATATTGGACTGTACACAATAGAAGGCAGGAGACTCAGGCTGGCCTCAGCTTTGGGAGGTGTTGTCATATGAATGTACTGGATTTAATTTGCACCTCTGTGAAAGTTTGAAATTGATGTAAATTTTGAGGCCAATGATTCACATAAAAAGGAAATAATTTTCAATTCAACATTAGAAACTTCTTTTTAACATTGAGAATTGTTCAAAGTTGAACAGGCTCTTTGGAAAGTAATGCGTTCCTTATTGATGAAGGTGTTTACTCTTTCTGAGACAACCATTTTCATTGGGTATTAATTGCATATTATGTGTTGATTACAATTTTTGGTCTTATGAAGATATACTAAAGAGGGAATTTAAGCATCTTGAACTAGATTGCTTCTAACTTGTTATGTAGAAGATCCTTCCAGATACAGGATGGGGGAACTAAAGAAAATAATGAAAAGGACCATATTTACTTTTTCCTGTTACCAACTCTTACTTTAATCATTGGACCATTGGTAGGACTTAGAAGTTTCACGCATGCACAAACTTGCACACATGTACACACACACAACATCTAGGATGAGGATGGCTTCAGAAGCAAATGAGAATAAAATTCCATTCTCGTTCATTCTCGAGAGGTAACTCTGCAGACTGCGTTTTCCTTTAGGACGAATGATCTGATAGTCATGGGAAGATGCCTGCAGTTCTTGTCCGTCTCTAATGTAATTCTGGGCATGTGTATGCTACAGAGCCTGGCTGAGTACCAACAGCTCTTTTAATCTCCAGAGGAAGAAACCAGGTATTTTAACATTTTGAGTTAGGTGCACAGTGACCAATGAAATCTGGGTACTTCTTCAAACAGCTGCACACAAAGGTATTCCTTTGGGTAGAAAGGAAGAGAAAAAAAAAAACTATTTTTCCCCTCATTGATTTGTTGGCATTTGCCATATGGTACAGAATGTTTGCTGATGCTTTTCTCCTACTGCTGGGGATTTGGTCAAATTCCCAGCAGAGTTAAGCCACAGAAAGTCATTGCTATGGAAACAGCAACCCAGTTTTTGCTTGCGTTTGCGATGACATGTTGAGTAATCAGGTTGTGTATTTCTGTGTGTGTGTGTGTTTTACGTATGTGTTTCTGTGATGGAAAAGAGGTAGCTTTCCACTTTTCTGATTTCTAAAAATTATTATTTTTTATCTGCAAATTAAAAAAGAAAAGTGCTAAAATTCCTATGTCCGAAATATGGTTCAGGATGCTTTTATTAATATGACAGGGATTGAAGTTTCAACAAGGTCTATGATAGGAGTTAGGATTTTAGATTAAGTCTCAGTCTCAAGATGTGTTTGCTGGAGAAAGAGGCTTTTATCCTAGAAAAGACTCTTAAAGGTTAATAACTGAGCCCAGAAATAAGCAGACAGCATGTATTATAGCCTTCTTTTTATTTAGACAATGAGAGAAATATTTTACAGTTGGTATGCAATTAAAATTGTAGTTGCTAGAATTTTATACTAAAGTTATACTCTTTTAGACATCTTCTTCCACAGAGTAAGCTGTTTAAACAATACATGATGTTAATTGCATTCTATTGCCTTTCCACATTGGTAGATCCAGAGGTCTTCAGACTCTTCACTGAGTCTTTCCACAAAGCAAAGCTGGGAAAGAGATGATGAGGTTAATGGAATGTTCATCTCAGCTCAGTTTTATTCTGCACTGTTTCTTTTCTTTTATGAAAGGTTATTTGGCCCATGACTCATGCCTGTGTGATGATGACTCACATTGTCTTTTTCTACTTATATTATGTTGACAGTGTGAGACAGTTATACTTACCCCATGAATGAAGTGACCATACCCTGGATGCTGACAAGCTGAATAATCAGTAATAAGCGTGTGTGATAAGTTGTGTCTGACTCTTTGTGACCCCATGAACTGTAGCCCCCATGAACCAGGCTCCTCTGTCCGTGAGATTTTCCAGGCAAGAATACTGAGTGGGTTGCCATGGCCTCCTCAATCAGTAATAAGATTAATACCCAATTTATGCAAATAAATTGTCAAGTAGAAGTACA